ACTCAACCCTGGTGGATTTCAGCAGCCAGATTGATAAATTACCGCCAGTTTATAGACTATGTGGAAATGCTGTACCCAATAGATCCAAAAAAAAAAAAAAAAAAAGAGAGAAAGAGAAAAAAAAAAATCACCGTCTGTGTGTGTGCCTAAAATCCCAAGAGGAGATGAGAGAAAAAGGGATTGTGGTGTAGCCATCCTCCCTGGGAGGTGATTTCTCACTCCCCCTCCCCGTTTCTCTGTCACTCTCCAGTGAGCGTACATACGCTCTGGCCAATTAAAAAACAAAAAAATCAGTATTTTTCATTTTGAGTATACAGATCCTGCAATTATTTTTATACCTGAGTTCTTTATGTTTGTCATTGCTATAAATAGTATTGGTTTTCACATTTCAAATTCTGCCTTATTCATTGCTGCTATGAAGGGATGCAGCCAACTTTTGTATTTTGGCCTTCTGTCCTGTGATCTTGCTAAACTCACTTGTTAGTTACAGGAAATTTTAAAAAGAATCTTTAGGATTTTCTTTGAAACAATTATGTCACCTTAAAAAAGATAGTTTTGGGGACCAGCAGGTGGCATGGTGCTTAAGGCGCTGGGTACTCCCACATGGCTAACCACGGGTGGAGTCCAAGACCTGGTAGCTTGCGTTGTCACTTTCTCTCTGTATCTCTGTGTGCTTGTCTCTGCTCAAATTAAAACAAGTGAATGAATAAATAAAATTAAATAATTCTTTAAAAAAAACCGGGGCTAGCAGGCGGCATGATGGTTGGGGGTGCTGGACTCCCACATGGCTGACCACGGTTTGAATCCTGGACCTGGTGGTTTGCTTTTTCTGTCTCTTTCTCTTCTCTCTGTCTCTGGTCAAATTAAAATAAATGAATAAATAAATAAAATTAAGTAAATAATTCTTTAAAAAGATAGTTTTTTTTTTTCTTTTCAATCTGTGTTGCTTTATTTATTTATTGGGTTTTGTCATTTTTTTTTTTGGAGAGGTTTTTGCTATAGGGCACGTGCGCTCGCCAGACAGAGAGAGACAGAGACAGAAAGCGAGAAATCACCCCCCAGGGGGGATGGCCACGCCACAATTCCTTCTCCTCCATTCTCCTCTCAGGATTCTGGGCACACATGCACACACGCCCGGCATGAGTTTTAAGCCACCAGGTCCAGGATGCAAACTGCGGTCGACTACATGGGAGTCCAGCGACATAGCCATTACACTAACTGCTGGTCCCATGGGTTTTGTAATTTTATTTAGACACAAATAAAATGTGCATATAAGTGGGGCCAACAGGTGGCATAGTGGTTGAGGCGCAGGACTCCCACATGGCTGACCATGGTTTGAGTCCTAGACACAGCAACTTGAAACTCATGTTGGGCATGCACACATGCATGCCCCAAATCCCAAGAGAATGGAGAAGAGATTGGCATGTGTGGTCATGCCCACCAGGAAGGGATTTCTTGATCTCTGTTTCTTTTGTCTCCTTCTTTCTCTGTCTCTCCAGTGAGCCCACGTGCCCTACAGTAAAAATCTCTCTCAAAAAAATTTTTAAAAAAAGTGCGTACAAATTGTCTAATCTTTTTCTTCACTTCTTCACTGCACAGCCTGGAATTGGGATTGGTCACTCTGATGACCAACAGGGCTCTTTCTGTGATAGCTTTGCAGTTTTTGGAGGAACATTGTAAACAAACTCAGCACAGCAAGATTTATTACACATCAGCAGCTCCTTGACATTGTGGACCAGGAATTGCCAGAAGCCCCTGGGCAGCATGTGCTTTGTTTTTTTGTTGTTCTCATAACCAATGCTGGGCATCAAGATATGGCCCTTGGATCTTCTCTGCACCCTGTTGTCAGTAGCTCTGGGTTTCTGCCAGTTATGCTTAATTTTGACATATCAGTCTGACTGGTACCAAATGAACTTCTTGGTTCATGAGAGATTTGAGGGTAATCATGATGCCAAGTAGGAGACCGTCATCTCTGCAGGCAGCACGGAGAAAGAAAGCTCTATATGCCTTTAAATACAAATTTTATTTGAAGGGGCCAGCAGGTGGCATGGTAGTTAAGGGCACTGGACTCCCACCTGGCTGACCACGGTTCAAGTCCCGGACCTGATGGTTTACTTTCTCACTTTCCTCTCTGTATCTATCTATCTCTCAGTGTCTCTCTCCAGTCAAATTAAAATAAGTGAATGAATAAATAAAATAAGATAAATAATTCTTTTTTAAAAATGCTATTTGACAAATAAACATAAAGTTACCTACTAAGGTTACTTATTCTTGAGTGAGTTTGATCATTTGTATCTTTCAAGGAATATGTCCAATTCATCTATGCTATCAAATTTGCATGTATAGGGACCAGTAGTTAGCGTAATGGCTAGTCGCTGGACTCCCATGTAGTCCACCGAGGTTTGAGTCCCGGGCCCAGTGGCTTAAACTCACGCCGGGCGTGTGTGCATGCGTGCCCAAGATCCCAAGAGGAGAATAGAGGAGAAGGGATTGTGGCGTGGCCATCCCCCCTGGGGGGTGATTTCTCACTTTCTGTCTCTCTGTCTCTCTGTCTTTCTGGTGAGTGCACGCGCCCTATAGTGAAAAAAAACCTCTCTCAAAAAAAATTTTTGCGTGTACAGAATTGTTAGACTTTTGTGTCTGTGGTATCAATAGCTATATCTTCTCTTTTGTTTCTGATATTTGCACTGTGTATCTTCTTTCTTTTGTTCTTGGACATAAGTTTCCATTTCAGTTGGGTAAATACCTAAAAGCACAACTGGATTGTGTGATAATGGTATGGTTAGCTTTGTAAGATATTGCCACACTGTCACTGCCACACTTCCGAAATGACTACCATTTCATTCCTACCACTGAAGTGTAAGAGCACTTTTTGCTTCACGTTCTCTCTATCATTCGGTGGAGTCCATTTTTGGGATTTCAGTCATTCTAACAGAAGAGTCATAGCACCTCATGGTTGATCTAATTT